CCGTACGAAGATGCGCCTTGAAACGTTGATTTACGCGGTATTTTCAGATTTCGGAATAAGTACCCCCACCCCGAGAAAAGTGCACTTTTGTGCAGGGGAAAATATTGTGAATATTTGCCCGAACGGACCTTAGTAATGAAGTTTCATGCCTTCTGTGAGCAGGCTAGGTGCTATCGTGGAGGTCTGCATAAGTACATGCGCGCGTACCCGTTTCGTGTGATCATGGCATTGGCGTTCGCAAGAACAGATACGTCAATCTGTGGTCGCGCTCGGGGTACCCGGACGCAAACTAGTTCATGATTGATTCCCTTCCGCGTGGGGCCTAGCTTTATACACGAAACAGACTACCGGTGCCCCCCCGCCCCTCCCCCGAACATCTCATTATGAAGAAAATGGGGACCGACCTAGGTGGCGCGTGCAAGGGAATTGTTGTGGACCCTTCTTCAGAGCCCTCAGAATTGATTTGCCAGGTCAGAATTTTCTCCGAACAGACCAGACTACCCATAGAGAGCATGAAGCTTAGTTTCGTTCGACTTTTTCTTTTGCCGAACAAAGCGTGTGGACAGCAAAAGTAAATGATTAGGCACAAATTGCACATACTGACTGCCGATCTCTCGTCTATCACGTCGACTCCGTTAATGTGTCACTTCGAAGAACACCTACAAATCAGGAGACAGACCCCGCACGTAAACAACAACACATCCAAGCCGTGCGCGACAACACGTCCCACCTACTACGTAGGCAGGATCGTGAAGAATCAGGAAAGTTTTCTTGCTACAAGAAGGGCCCGAAGGATCTCTTCGTTCAACTTTCTCAAGGTATTATTATTGTAGACTAACCTCTTTTTTCTAACATCACCAAGTCTACTCTCACTTGACCCGAAAACGAATCCAGTCAGCCGACGGATGAAAACAATCGCCAATCGGAAGGGACTCGGTTCGCCAAGATAAGGTCAAAATGGCCCACAAAGTACCCATTCATGGATACATCCAGCGCTCTATTCAAATTGATCTAAATTGTTTTTGGCTGAAGGTGGGCAGTGACGGCGCACAAAGAGCTAACGGCTGTCCCTTATTTCACGGGCACTCCTTTCTATCTCGGTCATCGTCGTCTATTCTCAGCTTCGACAGGTACCGCTCCCCCTGCAGTGCCCCGCCGCCGGGTATGCTCAGCGATAGCTGTACGTACTCGGGGTACCTGTCGCCGAACAAAGAACGGGAAAACATGTAACTGGGATGACGAACTAAGAAATTCTGTCGTCTTCCGACGTCGACCAAGGCTCTTGAATGGCGACAATGACGTGAATGCTGCCTCATCGTGTAGACTTTAAGACTAGTATGAGCTCGTGTTTTCTGCACGCCAAGGAGGAGAGTCTCTAGGCCAACAAGAGTTGTACAGGGTTCTGTAGCTAATCGCCCGTGCTCGAAACAGAACGGTGGCGCGTAGAGTACGGGTCCCGCCTCCTGTGCACGCGTCACCACAAGCAAAGCTTGTCGCCTAATGTATAATGAGTCACCTCTAATACTAAAAAATACTATCGTTGCTTTTTACCACCCTCTCGAAAGGACATCGTCCATTAACGGAAGGAAGCTGCACGGCAGAAACAACCAAATGGGTCCCCGATTTTCTTGGTGTAGGTTGCGGACAACATCAAACGACGAAGTGCTGGACGCGCGCCCCCTCCTTGGTTACAGTGAACGACTATTATACATCGTTTTACGGATAACAAGGTTTGACGGTCCTCTCACCTCTCTCGGCAGTGGTCGTCCATAATTCGGACGAAGAAAGACTGCTCCGTCTGTCCGGGTTCAAACGTCACCTCCCCCGCTGTCTGCTCGTAGTCTCCACAAACTCCCTGTCGTCGCGGGGTGAAGAAAGCGAACGTTCCTATGAAGGGAGGGGTACCAACAGGATACAAGCTCCGCGAGAAGTATGTTTAGAAACATATGTGCGTCTGTGTATACGTGGTACTATACACACACTTGGAGTACGACCTCAATGTTTGACATCTCCTGAAAACCTTCTTGCATAGAACCAGGGTTCAAACATATTTACTTGACCGGAATTTCTTGGCCAGGACGCAGGAATCTATATAGATCATAACCGGGCGAACTGCTCGAGAATGGACGCGGGCGGAAAGTACCACCCCGTATATTGGGCGATTTGAAGCGTTCCAACAGCGACGTAGGAAACAACGTGGTTGCGTCTCAACGCAAGTATGTGTACATCCGACAAAAAACTGAACA